GTGATAAATTAATTGTTCACTGTAATACACACACACACACAAATAGACAAAAATTGTTGTACTTACTGATGAAAAACGGTATACCGATAATGTAATTGTTCTTTTAGTATTTTACCAACCTTTGTGATAAATTAATTGTTCACTGTAATACACACACACACACAAATAGACAAAAATTGTTGTACTTACTGATGAAAAACGGTATACCGATAATGTAATTGTTCTTTTAGTATTTTACCAACCTTTGTGATAAATTAATTGTTCACTGTAATACACACACACACACAAATAGACAAAAATTGTTGTACTTACTGATGAAAAACGGTATACCGATAATGTAATTGTTCTTTTAGTATTTTACCAACCTTTGTGATAAATTAATTGTTCACTGTAATACACACACACACACAAATAGACAAAAATTGTTGTACTTACTGATGAAAAACGGTATACCGATAATGTAATTGTTCTTTTAGTATTTTACCAACCTTTGTGATAAATTAATTGTTCACTGTAATACACACACACACACAAATAGACAAAAATTGTTGTACTTACTGATGAAAAACGGTATACCGATAATGTATTTGTTCTTTTAGTATTTTACCAACCTTTTTACAATCATAAAATACGTATATATTGCTCATAAATCAAAATTGACATTTCATGATGAAATGTCAAAATAACGTGCGTGCGTGACGCATGCGTGGATGAAAGTTCGATGAGGCGAACGTGGCGCCATCTATCATTCAACAACATAAATAATTTGGTTCTGTTTGAAATACGAACGACGGTTAAATTATTTCGATATTGTTCATAAAAAAAAATACTAAAATCGCGTATTAAGAAATGTGAAGAGTGGGGGTAGGAGTGTGAAAATTTGGAGTTATAGGTATTTTCTGATGCCAAATAAAAAAAAATAAACAACAAATTTTTATCAAAAAAAATACAAACAATTTTTCTGGATAGGGACACCCTAATCACCTAGCGGTATGAAATATACTTTACGATCTATTCTCATACTTATCAAATATACATACAAAATTTCATAAAAATCGGTCGAGCCGTTTCGGAGGAGTGCGACCACAAACACCGTGACACGAGATTTTTATACACATTGTTATGCCGTGAGGATGTTATAAAATAATCTTTAACACTTTTGATAATACCAAAATAGCAGAAGCAAACTATTCTTTATTCTATCAAGTTTTGTTAGCAATGGCACAATTCTATTCTAGTTTTATAATATAACAATGGCCCAATTCTATTCTAATTTCCTTTCTATGAGTGGACGATGCTCACTCGGAGCCTACAGTTCGACGACTAACTCTTTGTTTCCTCTAAAATAATGAAAGCTTCTACGCCTTCGTACAATCTTTGCTGACAAAGGGTTACTTATCGCGGGGTACTAAGAATGCTAACTTAGTGAGTAACACTTAGGTGCATAACACCCCCGCTGTTAGATGAAAATTCCCTTTTTACAAAATTTACAATAGGGATTTTCATAGAATCAAAAGTATATTACATATCATTGTCGAATTCTGATATACGAAGTCTAGACCTAGATCGAGGAACCTTTCTTTTTGGCTCTGGTTGTCTGAGGCTTATAGTTTTTCTTTGAAAGATTGGGGACACATCTAAATTTGATGAAATGGAACTAGAATTAACATGGGCCAATGTTCCCATGGGCATTTCTGTCGCACAGGAGTTTTGATTTCGAGCATTGTTGCCATAATTAAAGAGACAATGATTATAAACAGAAGTGCAAGGCTTGAATGCCCCTAATGTCAAGCATTTAAGAAGATAAAATATTTTAAACTTATTCATTAAGTACAATATTACTAATCCGCCCAAGATATAAATGGCATACGTGATCCAACTTATTGCTTCCTCATAAAATGTTTTTATTCTCTGATGATTTCCTATTTCTATTGCTTCTCTTGTTATTTCGTTTAATTGGGTGCCATATTTAGTTAGATCGCCTATTTTAACATCAGGCGTTTCTATCGCGTGAATTTTTATCAAACTGAGGTTTAACTGTGGATCCTTAAAAACTTGAAAATGCTGGCTGAAGTTATACGTTATCAAAGGTGTAAAGGCCTTATTGTTTTCTACGATCCTTTCTGTTTGTGAGTGAAGTATCACATCGTTTGAAACGATTGTGCGTCCAGGCGCAATCCATAAAATTTTTGTTCCCATTATAATTGTTTCTTCTACTGTCTTATTGCAAATAATTTTTATCGATTCTGACGAAGGTGTGGCGTATAGCCATTTGTTGTTATTTTTGAATTTTATCCACATCGTATGAGTTATTGATATAATTTTCACATTACAATCTTCTTCCTTTAATTTGAACGGTTCATTGACAATTATGCTCATGCAGGTATCGTGTGCCTTCATATAATACTTTGGATAAATACTTCTACAGAATCGTTGTCTTGATTTTTATACACATTGTTATGCCGTGAGGATGTTATAAAATAATCTTTAACACTTTTGATAATACTAAAATAGCAAAAGCAAACTAATATTTTATTGTATCTCAGTTTCGTTAACAATGGCACAATCTTATTCTATTTTCCTTTCTATGAGTGGACGATGCTCCCTCGGAGCCTACAGTTCGACGACTGACTCTTTGTTGCGTCTAAATAATGAAAGCTTCTACGCCTTAGTACAATCTTTGCTGACAAGGGGTTAGTTATCGTGTGGTACTAAGAATGCTAACCTAGTAAATAATTAAGTAACGCTTAGGTGCATAACACCCCCGCTGTTAGATGAAAATTCCCTTTTTACTCTTTGTTTCCTCTAAAATAATGAAAGCTTCTACGCCTTCGTACAATCTTTGCTGACAAAGGGTTACTTATCGCGGGGTACTAAGAATGCTAACTTAGTGAGTAACACTTAGGTGCATAACACCCCCGCTGTTAGATGAAAATTCCCTTTTTACAAAATTTACAATAGGGATTTTCATAGAATCAAAAGTATGTTACATACCATTGTCGAATTCTGATATGCGAAGTCTAGACCTAGATCGAGGAACCTTTCTTTTTGGCTCTGGTTGTCTGAGGCTTATAGTTTTTCTTTGAAAGATTGGGGACACATCTAAATTTGATGAAATGGAACTGGAATTAACATGGGCCAATGTTCCCATGGGTATTTATGTCGCACAGGAATTTTGATTTCGAGCATTGTTGCCATAATTAAAGAGAAAATGATTATAAACAGAAGTGCAAGGCTTGAATGCCCCTAATGTCAAGCATTTAAGAAGATAAAATATTTTAAACTTATTCATTAAGTACAGTATTACTAATCCGTCTAAGATATAAATGGCATACGTGATCCAACTTATTGCTTCCTCATAAAATGTTTTTGTTCTCTGATGATTTCCTATTTTCATTACTTCTCTTGTTATTTCGTTTAATTGGGTGCCATATTTAGTTAGATCGCCTATTTTAACATCAGGCGTTTCTATCGCGTGAATTTTTATCAAACTGAGGTTTAACTGTGGATCCTTAAAAACTTGAAAATGTCGGCTGAAGTTATACGTTATCAAAGGTGTAAAGGCCTTATTGTTTTCTACGATCCTTTCTGTTTGTGAGTGAAGTATCACATCGTTTGAAACGACTGTGCATCCAGGCGCAATCCATAAAATTTTTGTTCCCGTTATAATTGTTTCTTCTACTGTCTTATTGCAAATAATTTTTATCGATTCTGACGAAGGTGTGGCGTATAGCCATTTGTTGTTATTTTTGAATTGTATCCACATCGTATGAGTTATTGATATAATTTTCACATTACAATCTTCTTCCTTTAATTTGAACGGTTCATTGACAATTATGCTCATGCAGGTATCGTGTGCCTTAATATAATACTTTGGATAAATACTTCTACAGAATCGTTGTCCTTTATGAGCCTTACAGGTTTGTAGGAAGTGCTCATCACTCTAAGTGTATAATAATTTTTCGTCATTGGTAATGATATAATCGTGAGGAGTCGAGATATATGCCATTAAATTATCTTTTACAAGCTTGGGCGCAGGAATTACTCTATAAGCTATATAGTTTCCTACTTCTAGAATTGTTATCTTAATTACATAAACCAATCTATATCCTATAACACTTATTGCTACTTCGCTGATTTCTAAATATTCAAAATAATTTCCTTCGTGAATGGGTATGGGCATTACGTCACTACCCTTTTCATCTCTTATCAACTTTATCGAACTCGTGAGCAAATCGGGCGATAATAATTGAGGACTAATTTGTCCACCTTTGGCAAGAGTCACAGATTCAATTAGTATTCTAACGTTTCTATCTAATTCCATTAAAGCTAATTCAACTTCTAGAGACGTTTCAGTAATCAATTCATTTTTTTGTAATTCTACTTCCTCTTGTGCCAATTTCTTCAAATTTTCGCCAATACTTTTAAAATTGTTGTCAATGTCTTTGAATTTTGCGTTATATTCGACAAACAGATTTTCGGTTTTTTGTAGACTTAATTTCAATATGTAAGTTTGATTTTTAAATAATTCTCCAATTTTCTTATTGTCTTTATGAACGGCGTCTATTTCTGAATTATAATATGATGCATCGTCTGCGCTCATAGTCCCGAAAAGTGCTTTACTAATACTACCAACGAAATTAAATATGCCTCGTTTACTTCTAAAAAGAGTGGGTACGCTTATGTCTGAAAATAGCTTAGACTTATCTTTTTTAATAATTTCTAGTTGGTTTTGTAATCTTATAATGATATTTCAATCGCTGCATTTATTGTCACAAATAGCTCCCAGGGTGGTTAATCCTTTCGATATTTCCGATTCTTCCAGTGTCAGCTCATCCATATTGATGTAGGAGACTACGTTGTAGGTCTCATAGTTGGTTTTGTAATCTTATAATGATATTTCAATCGCTGCATTTATTGTCACAAATAGCTCCCAGGGTGGTTAATCCTTTCGATATTTCCGATTCTTCCAGTGTCAGCTCATCCATATTGATGTACGAGACTACGTTGTAGGTTACATGAAAGAATCTTACGTCCTCCAAATATTCCATGTGAAGGTTTGGCAATGTATTGAATTCGAACTCTACGAAGTTTTTACCACTATGCCTGGGAAGATTACTCAGAAGAACTCTGAAACAAATTGACGTTAGAATATTTTAATCTATTGGCATGCACAATAATTTCTTTGTTTTTCTTTTTCATTTTGTAATTGACGTCCGAAATTTTGTCTAGCACTCTGTACGGTCCTTCAAATGGCACATTTAGGGCGTTCGTTTTTTCGTTGGCTGTGCTTTCCTTTCGCAGCCATACTAAGTCTCCAGGCCGGAACTCTTGAGGGTTTGTCAATCTTTCGTATCGTTCTTTGGTCCTTTGTTTGCTTTCTAATAGTATTTGTTTGCTTTCATCCAAAGTTTTTGTGATTTTCTTCTGTAGTTCCTCCAAATATTCAAAAAATGAAATATTAGTATTTTTCTTCACTGTTGAAACATCCCTCGGGTTGGATCCAAAAACTAATTGACAAGGTGTGTGACCAGTACTTTCATGTTTAGCAGTATTATAATATAAATTGGCCAAATGAATCCTATCGTCCCAATCGTCTGAATTCTCGTTGGTAAAGTGCCGCAAATAATCCTTCAGAACTTGATGACTTCGTTCTAGGCTCCCATTACTTTGAGGATGGAAGCTTGTAGTCGTAATTTGCTTAATTCCCAACATCTTTTCAAAATTCTTCATGAGTTCGCTCGTAAAGTTAGTTCCTTTAGCAGTTAGTATGTTGCGTGGTATACCGAAGTAACTGGCGTAATATTTTAAAAATGCATCTATAACACTGGAAGCCGTAAAATCTTTCATGGGTATTGCAACAAAATGTTTAGTCAGACAGTCTTGTATTGTCAAAACATATTTATTGCGATTTTTGGTAAGAGGAAAGGGGCCGCATATGTCCATCGCAATTTTGTCATTGAATGATCCTGGAATATCTGTTATTATCATCGGCATTTTTGTTGGGTGTCGATTAGCTTTGTTTCTTTGGCAAACGGAACATCCTTTAATGTAGTTTTCCACATCTTTCCTGAGTGTTTTCCAAAAATAATTTTCTGAAATCCTGTAATATGTCTTTTTAATTCCGCCATGTCCTCCTAGCAAACTGTCATGGTTTTCCTTTAAAATCTTCTCAATGTCTTCGCGTTGGGGTATTATTCTTCTTTTGTCATGCAGATATACTGTAGTGTTCCCATGACAGAATTGTTCGCGCCATATCTTCTCTATGGCTGTCCTGGAAAGCTCCGCTAGTCGAGCACATCCGTCGTGGTCAACGTGAAGTTTCTTAAATTCTTCCGCTATCGCTAGATACCTCAGTTCTGCGATCTGCTCAACCAGACCTTCGCTGGTTATGTCTGTATTAATTCCCACAGTGATATGATATTCTTGGTTCTCATCCTCAGAGTGAACGTCAATCAATTGTGAATTCTCCTCCCCAATGAACGATACGTCCACACTACCCTCAGGTATCGGGGCATTTGTCAGAAAAAGTTGTTTTCCTAATTTCACAAGTTTTACGGATTCTTCTGGTTCCGTTTCTTGTATTTCGTCTCTTTCTGTTCGTTGTTCTATTTCTTCTTCTATCTCTATCATATCGTCTGCATTCATTCGACGAGTTATTAGAACAGGGTTCCTGGATAGAGCATCAGCGTTCGTATTGAAACTACCTTTCTTGTAATATATCTCGTAGTCGTAATCTTCTAATGTTATCCTCCATCTCGCTAGTCGCGAATGAGGATCTTTGTGGTTCATCAACCAAATCAATCGACGATGGTCTGTTACAATCTTGAACTTGCGACCATACAGGTATGGGCGAAAATGCCTCACACACCATACTATTGCGAGCAGTTCCTTTTCAACAGTCGAATAATTTTGTTCTGCTTTATTTAAAGCTCGACCTGTATATGAGATCGGGTGTTCTCTTCCATTCTTTTCTTGTGATAATATTCCGCCCAAAGCTATTCCAGACGCGTCAGTGGTCAACGTGAATTCTCGTGAAAAATCAGGATAAGCCAGAATTGGTTCCTTGCAAAGTTCTTCTTTAAGTGTAGCAAAGGCTTTTTCTTGTTCGGCCCCCCAAACAAATGCAACATCCTTCTGTAATAATCGAGTCAAAGCTTTCGTTTTCTTACTGTAATCTTGTATAAATTTTCGATAATATCCTGTCAGTCCTAGGAATTGTTTAATGTTTTTTGCATCTTTTGGCTTTGGGAATTCCGTAACACTTTTACACTTTTCTGGATTTGGCCTTACGCCTTCTGCCGTAATAATGTGACCTAAATATTGTAATTCTGGCTTAAGGTACTCACATTTGTCTGGCTGTAGCTTTAGACCAGTGTCTCTCATTCGTTGCAGGAAGAGTCGCAATTTCTC